CTAATATAAGCAAAGATTTGTTGAAAATCAAAGATCTGAAGTACCGTAGCTATTTGCCCTTTCTCTGGCTATGTCAAAATGTACCAAATGTTAAAATCCGTCGATTATTGTAAACATTACGGCGACATTTAAAAAAACGACAACTTTGGCGATTTCGGACATTTCGCATTGTCACAAAATGTTCGAAATAGGTTTTATCTCTAAGTCATGCTGACTTTCCTGTAAAACCAAAGATATCATACAGATCCGCCAAGTAGTTTCTGAGATATGCTCAAGTGGAAAATAAAACGGTCAACGTGTTGGATGATTGTTTTTTGGGTAAAAACAATCATCACTAGAACTGCAACGCAGTAATGACGGGTTTCACGGGTACCCCGTTACTCTTGAACATATGTCACTTCCGGTACCGATGAAACCATTAAACAGGTTTCCATATAAGCAATACCAGATCTAATAAAATGTACGCAGAATCAACCAAATCCAGCAATATCAATTCATTGTATACATTTGTTACATGTAAGTAGGGTGACCCATGTACTCACAGAAATACAGTCCACCGCTGATAGTTCGAGACTACCACTGAAGCGTGCACATTCGCCGTGCCGAGACCAACTTTCTGACAGTATGATACTATAAATAGCCATGGCACGTGCAATTCTCTACAAATCTATCAACTATTACAGCTGTAAAAAATTTATTGTTGACAATTTTGAATAGCAGTAAAATTAAGCTTCTTGGTTATTACAGCAGATTTAGAAATTACGTTCGTTTCTTTTTTTAAATCGCTTTATCATTAACTGTACCGTTAAGAGCGGCATCTTTTGGTTTAGTACAAATAATATCTCTGAATCACTCGGGTTAGACAGGAACATGATACTAGCAGTAGTTTCATTTTACTTTTACAAGCTTCTTAAAACGATTGTTGAGCTACCTAACGTGCTTATTTCTAAATTCAATTTCTTGTTCTAGCTTTCTGTTATGTTTCGTAAAAAAGTAGTCTTGATTATCCCGACCTGTCAATCAGACGTAGAATGGGCGATAGGCTGGTTAAGCGAGACTAATTTCAAAACAAGGGCACGTAACCTATCTTTTACTCAAAAGTGTCTGGATGTTATGGACGACTCTTGGAACCAGTTTTCAGTCTATTATTTATACATGATTAATGGTCATAGCTTATTAAGTACAACATGATCGTTTTTTTAGTGACTATAATTGTGTGAAACTGATTTGAGGCTTGGCATATATATAAATATTGTGGCGTAATTGTCGAGATATATGGAGATATTTATTTATGGTGGGTCACCCTAATGTAAGTGATCCTGACAAAATTAGATTACTTCCGGTGATAGTGAAAATGTTAAATTAGTTTTATGAAATCAGAAATGGCATAAGGCATCACATGGTGAAAATTTTATGTAAATTGAATAATAATTTCTACTTTCATAGACCAAAAACCTTAAACAGTGACTTGTAGAAAATCGTCTATATCTCTACAACCGTACAAGTTAGAAACCATTTTTTGGTATCTGTATGATCGTATGGGTTCAATCTATTTGTTGATTGGAATGAAATATCATAATGTTAAAAACATTACAAATCAGACTCAATTGAATAAAATATCTGTTTTAAAGGCTAAAAATACAGTTTTTGCCAAAATGACGTTACTTCCGGTGATAATGAAAATCTTAAATTACTTGAATGAAATCGTAAATTGCATTAGGTATCACACGGTGAAAATTTTATGAAAATCGAATAATAATTGAAACTTTTATGGACCAAAAACCCTGAAAAGTTGCCTGTTGAAAATCGTCTAATTCTCCGCAACTGAACAAGGTAGAAACCATTTTTATACGCCCACATTGAAATGTGGTCGTATATTGTCGTCGCCCTCGTCCGTCCGGCGTCCACAATTGCTTGTGGACGCTCTAGAGGCTAAAGTTAATATCCGATTGACTTTAAATTTATACATAGTGTTTAAGGTCATGAGACGAAGAAGCCTATTGATTTTCAGCGATTTCCGATAATTACTGCCAGAGTTATGACCCTTGATCACTTTGAAAAATCTTGTGGACGCTGTAGAGGCTAAAATACCACATAAAAATAGTCATTAATATAAAAGTTTTTCGTAAAAATTTAAATCTTCAAAATTTGGCGCCTAATATCTCCAAAGATTCGTCGAAAATAAAAAATCCAAAGAACTGTAGCTATGTGCCGTGTCCCCGGCTATCTCAAACTGTATCAAATATCACAATCCGACAATTATTGATAACATTACGGCAAAATTTCGAAAACCGACAACTTTGGAGATTTCGGACATTTCACATTGTCGAGAACGTTAGAAATAGCTTTAAAATTTAAGTCAAACCCACTTTCCCAGTAAAACCGAAGACATCAAATCGATCCGACAAGTAGTTTCTGAGATATGGTCAAATGGAAAAATGATAATAACTAGACCTTCAAGCAGCACTGAACCGGCTTTCAGGAATCAGACAGGAAGTGTGTCATACAATAGCCCATTCATCGAGCTACCAAACGATACTTTAGGTGTTTTGATACGGTCACACCCGACGGTGAAATCACGATTTTTGCAAGAGCACCTATTTTTACTGGGGTTTTTTTTTTTTAATATCGTATTATTATATCAACGTTACATCCTAAGGATGTCTGAGTTCGAATTTTGTGAAAATCGACCTAAATTTGACAGACAAAATGGCCGCCGTTCATTCTCAAATAGCGTAAAAATATGGTATATCAAGGTTGTGGACCCTATAGAGGTCACAATTTTTATCCGATTTTGTTGAAACTTGAAATGTAAGTTTATAACCCAAAGATCTCCGTTTCTTTCGATATTTGCGCATATCGGACCGTAACTTCCTGAATTATGGCCCCTGAATGTACGAAAAATCGCGTTTTTAGCTTGTGGACCCTATAGAGGTCATAATTTTTATCCGATTTAAAAAAACGTATTATTATATCAATGCTACACCCTAACGACGACCGAGTTCGAATTTCGGAAAATCGGCCCAAAATTGACAGACAAAATGGCCGCCGTTCGTTCTCAAATAGCGTAAAAATATGGTATATCAAGTTTGTGGACCCTATAGAGGTCGCAATTTTTATCCGATTTTGTTGAAACTTGAAATGTAAGTTTATAACACAAAGATTTCAGTTCCTTTCAATATTCGTGCATATCGAATTGTAATTTCCTGAATTATGGCCCTTGATTGTAGGAAAAATCACTTTCTTGTTGGCTTGTTCTCTATCCATCTCTCGAAAATGTGGGCGTATCCTGCCTGGCAGCCAGTTGGCGGAAAAAAATATGAACATTTTTTTTATATAAAAATTATTATCCATTTTGACGGAAAAGAATGAAATACAGTGTGAGCCCTGATTGCACGTATTCAAATAAACTGAGACTACAACAACTTCCGAGGCGAAAAGTCTCTAATAGCGTGGTGTGTTAATTTCCTAATTTCTACTTTTCGAGTTGCATTTTGGCTTGATATGCGTGTTGGCGCCTTCTTACCGATATCAATAAATACAAAAATATGACTAAGTCGAAAGTCGACAAGACGGTATACAAGCCAAAATGCAAGTCAAAAATAAGAAATTAGGAAAAAACGAGGGGCGCTATTATCGCTGTGTGTTATTTCTTAATTTCCTATTTTCGAGTTGATTTTGGCTTGTATACCGTGTTGTCGCCTCAAATTTTGTCATAACTTCTACTTTTCGACTTTTCGACTTTCGTGTTTTGAAGAGACGAAAAGTAGAAATTATGAATGGTAGTTATAGGCTTCCATACGTAGTAGACCCTATCATCCCAAATTAGTTTAAAGAAAGAAGTATAGGTGTTTTGTTTATTTATATTTAGAAGTTGTGTAGGTCTATTCATTTTACAATTCGACGGTCTTTAAATTTGTATATTTGCCGTAAAAAGGTCACCCAGACCAATTTACGGCACTCCAATGTTAAAGGTTTGGATGTCGTACATGGTGTTGTAATTCGTGAGACACAAGTCAAATAAAACAAGTTGTTTTAATTATCAATATCTACCTGTTGTCATAATTCCTTGTACTTTTTCATCGTTATGCTCGGAAGTTCCTTTTTCCACCATTCACCAAATCCTGGCTACATCCCTGCCTTATTTCACTTTATTGAACCTTGTGAACACTCTAATGCCAAAAGTTATCTGCCGATCTGTATGAAATTTATATGTGTCATTTAAATTAGTAAAAAGAAGAATCCTATTGATTTTCAGCAATGCACCTTAATTACTTCTAGAGTTATGGCCCTTGTTTCACTTTGTTGCACTTTGTGAACCCTCAAACCTCTAAATTATCTGCCGATCTGTATGAAATTTACATGCGTCATTTAAATTAGTAAAGAGAAGAATTGTATTAAATTTCAGCAATTCCCATTTATTACTTCTAGAGTTATGGCCCTTGTTTCACTTTGTGAACGCTCTAAAGTTATCTGTTTATTATGTCTAGAGTTATGGACCTTGTTTCACTTTTTTGAACCTTGTGAACCCTCAAACGACAAAGATTATAATCTAATCTGTATGGAACTGTCTTATAAAGGTCCCTAATTACCCACAAAGAATAAATATGCGACAACCCTTATCGACCGCTCAGACGATTTAGCTGCTGTGGGCATGTTTCATTGCCTGACAACCTATCTTTTCATTTGTTTAATTCAATGATTTCGGATTCGTAAAATGTTCTGAAAATATATTTATTCCAAAGCCACCACCCATTCTTGAGGGGAATAGGGGGGGAAGGGGGTAGGTCAAAGTTTCAGAAAGATCCTATGATTAGATTCTAAGATATAATAATTCTGAGATATAATAATAATCCGAACAAAAACAATAGTGTTTCACACAAGCTACGCGGTGTGAAACCCTAATGATGTGCTGTTAAATGTTGTTTATAATCATGTGCAGGTGTAGTATGAACATCTTGGTACTCCATGGGTTGATTAATGCTGTGATATTATTTCAGGTTTTACACAATGTTGATGAATTATTTGACCATGAAGAATTGTCAGCCTCTCCTGATGCTGGTTGGCCAGACTGTTTTAATTCTGGTGTTTTCGTGTTCAAGCCATCAGAGGATACATATGCAGCTCTTATTAATTTCGCATTAGCACAGGGATCTTTTGACGGCAAGTAATATTTACTTGTGTTCATGTTCTGTCGTATTTGTAGCTGTTACCATGACCTGGTCAAAACATGCAATTCTCACAGATTTAAAAAAAACCTCTCAATTTGATTAAAATACAGATCTATCTTTCGTTTCATTTTTATACGCCCGAATTGAAATGTGGTAGTATATTGTCGTCGCCCCGTCTGTCCGTCCGGCGGTCCCGCGTCCACAATGAGGCTAAAGTTAATATCCGATTGACTTTATATTATATTTAAGAATGCGTTTGCGAGAGAACCATGCAGGGACCGGCACATGGTGGGTGAACGATTTTCACCATTTTTTTTTATGTATGATGGGTATAACTCCTCCAAACCCTACTGCCACAATTTTAGATCAATCAAACTATTTTTAGAGTGTAGAGAAAAGTTTGAAATTTTAAGACCAAAAAAGGCAAAAAAATCATCATTTTAAGGCCACTTTTCAATTATGGCGTACAACTAAACTACGGCGAGTAGATTAATGAAACTTTATAGGGTAGCAGATATGGTTAGTGAGTATACATTCTGAAAGTTTGATGGACTTACATTGAGTCGTTTTTGGTATAGGGACTTAGTGCTACAAGGTACCAAAATAGATCAATTTAGGTATGTCATTTTATTCTATCTATATCTCACCAACTGCGGTTTTAAGTGTGTTTTTGGAATGCTGACTGAAAAGGCAATGATCTATAGTAATAAGATCAAGAAAAAAATTGGGTGACACTCGACCCGTTTAGTAGTAAATAATTTCCATTTTTGTCCAAAAAACAATTTTCAACAAAAATGACGAAACATAAACCGCTTTTTTATACACTGAAAAGTGTAACATGGCACTGGAAACCAAATTAACGTGGGTTCCAGTTCCATTAAGACGAGCCATAATAGAAATAGAAATAAACAAATAAATATAAACGCATTATATACTTTCATCAAACAATTCACGTTTAAAAAATGTTACATTATCAAAACTACAAATACTTATTATCAATAAGTATTTCAAATTAAAAAATATCGCTATACTTTACTATCTATCTATCTATCTATCTATCCATTATCTATCTATCTATATATCTGTCTAATAAGTATCTAATCACGAAAACTGAGCTCACAATTACACCGTTAAAATTTTGAAAAGCTTAATTTACTGTAAATGCCAAAAGAGCTGTTCTTGGTAAATTCAATTAATCTCTCTAGACTATTTTGCAACATTTTATTAATTCGGCAATATAATCTCATAGTCTAGTAGAAGGATGATGAATTTTTGAACACAGAGAGAGACACACACAAACTAGGTCCCTTCGGGACTAACATATGGTTTAATTTTATTTACATAATTCGCTTGCGCGTAGGGGTCTTTAGCAGTGGGAGGAAACCGGAGGCCCCGGAGAAAACCCACGAGGTTGGACAGGCAACCCTACTCCTTGCCACGTACAACCGGATTTTTGAACAGCAAATCGTAAAAACTAAATAGTGTAGTAGTCATGTACATCTGCCTATACTTGACAAACGAATCAAGCGATATTTCAAAAAGATAAAAACAAATAGTATATGAGCGTAAGGTCACTGTTGTAGCATACTCCCCGCAGTGTTTCGTTTGATTAGACCTAATCCCACTCAACACTACCGTAATGAAAGCAAATTTCTGTTCAAAATTATGACTGGTCAATAGTCCGATTAACTGCGTAACAATATCATTCGGGTTTAAACAGAGCTCCAAATATGTTTACATAACGTTACGTCATGATTCACGAAATTTATTATGGCCATTGACCAGTGCATAGCAGAATATTGCAGAAAAACTAATTGCGTGACAAACGAGGCTATCAAAACGCCTACAATGTAAACAATACTGTTTGGAGACAAACAATATTTTCACCGTTTTTATTACCTTAAATCACTCTCCAAATCTTTAGGGAAGACCCCAGATTTGATTGAACAGGAAGAATAGACACACTCCTCCAAAAACGTAAGTATTAGAAGTCAATCCAGCAATGTCCAGAGCGGTATTTCTCGGGTTATTGCTTCAGGAATATGCTATTGTAGTGTCTTTCGGATAACTGGCTACTAAACCGCATTTTATTTGTGCAAAAGACGGGAAAATGATAAGCTGATTACAGCCGCCATCTTGGATGCTGGAGTGCAAATCTCACTTCGGCCTGACGAATAATAATAATAATAATAATATGTACATTTATATAGCTCACGTAATCCATGTACAGAGGCATGTCCACTGCACATACAATTAAATTGATTTAATTAATCCTGTTAACAAGATGAGTTTTAAATCTTGATGTAAAACAAGAAAGGATTTGAGATGATTTAATTATCTCTGGAAGATTGTTCCGCAGTTTAGGCGCATTCACTGAGCACAATCCGTATCCAAATGATTTTAATTTCCACCTTGAGCAACACAACTGATGAAGGTGTGTTCGGCCAGAGGTTACGCGAGGGAACTTGTATTTGCATAAGGTTAGATAAGTATATTTGAACTAAGCTATTCACACACTGATACGTCAAAGACAGACTTTTGAAGATGATTCTTTCATGAATTGTCAGCCAATGGAGTGATTTCAGAACAGGAGTAATATGAGAGTATTTTGATGATCTGGTGAGAATTTGAGCTGCGGTATTTTGTACAAGTTGATTTATTTTTAAATACCGGTATTGGCACTAGATGTTTTTACTAACATGCTGTTACAGTAGTCAATCCTTGAAAATACTAAAGAACATAAAAGTGTAGCAGCTGTTTCCTAGCCAATGTTCCTGGACCAAAGATAACAGTTTCGACAAATTTCACTAATGTGACTGTCCATGCTCAAATTGGACCCTAAGAGAGGACTTCACAGTGTCTCATGGTACAAATATTGCATCTAGTACAACCACATCATTTGAACTTGTATTTTTCAGATGTGTATTATAACCAAAATATACGACTGGGAGGCAGATGGTTTGGATTGTTTGTACTTGGTTTTATTTTATTTGGACCACATAAAATACATTCTGATTTACTTATTTCAATTAAATTTAATTTCAACATATTTCTTGTCATCCTATCTTTAATCTTAGAACTAGTATTCTAGTTCTATGCTTTAATGTCATGTGTACAATTAGGGGATGGAACAGTTTTTGAAAGGGAATAATTTGCAATCAGCTGTATATCATCTGCATAGTTGTCCTAAATTCTTAGTATACATTACAGAAAAGACAGGTCCAAGGACTGATCCTTGTGGAACTCCGAATCATCTGGGGCATTATCTGACCTAATAATCCCGGCAATGAATGATTTTATTGAAAAAATGATGTCAAAAATGAAGTCATTTTCTTCAAGTTTGACCTTCAAATTTAATATGAAAGAAATCTGTGCCAGTCATTTTGTCAAAACCAAATATTAGTATTAGTAGTCCCCAACTTCCATTATTAATAGAATTGTCCTCAGCCCTGCAGTGGGTGAGATATAGCATCATGAAATTTATATGTTTTAGCATATAGCAAAAACTACATCTCAAAATAAATTCCTCATAGCCTCAAATGGTTTTGGAAAAATTTAATAGTCATATATATTGAAGTAGTAGACAAGATCATTCATAAAAAAATAATTTAAAAAATAAAAAATCAATAGGCAATATATGGGAAATATTTGAATTTAGGGATTTTTTTTTTAAAAAAATGATGTTTTATTTTACTCTAAAATGGCCATAGCTGGTTCTCCGTAACTACAAGGTTGGTGAACCTCATATTTCATTTGGGGTATACGGGGTACCCAATGACCAAATCTGCAAAGTTTGGTCAAAATCGCCTGACACCGCTTGTGCCGTTTTTTGTATGCCCATTATGAAATGTGGTCGTATATTGTCGTCGCCCCCTGCTGTCCGTCGGTCTAGAGGCTAAAGTTAATATCCGATTGACTTTAAATTTATACATAGTGTTTAAGGTCATGAGACGAAGAAGCCTATTGATTTATTAGTGATTTCCTAGAGGCTAAAGTTAATATCCGATTGACTTTAAATTTATACATAGTGTTTAAGGTCATGAGACGAAGAAGCCTATTGATTTATTAGTGATTTCCGATAAGTACTGCCAGAGTTATGGCCCTTGATCACTTCAAAAAATCTTGTGGACACTCTAGAGGTCAAAGTTAATATCTGATTGATGTCAAATTTATACACAGTGTTTAAAGTCATGAGATGAAGAAGCCTATTGATTTTCAGCGATTTCAAATAAATACTGCCAGAGTTTTCGATATTCGCGCATATCGGACTGTAATTTCCTGAATTATGGCCCCAGATTGTAAGAAAAATCACGTTTTTAGCTTGTGGACCCTATAGAGGTCATAATTTTTATCCAATTTAAAAAAAACGTATTATTATATCACCGTTACACCCTAAGGAAGGCTGAGTTCGAATTTCGTGAAAATCGGCCCAAAATTGACAGACAAAATGGCCACCGTTCGGTCTCAAATAGCGTAAAAATATGGTAAATCAAGGTTGTGGACACTATAGAGGTCACAATTTTTATTCGATTTTGTTGAAACTTGAAATGTAAGTTTATAACCCAAATCGGTTCCTTTCAATATTCGCTCATATCGGACCGTAACTTCCTGAATTATGGGCCCTGATTGTACGAAAAATCGCGTTTTTAGCTTGTGGATTCTAAAAAACATATTATTATATCACCGTTAAACCCTAAGGACGGCTGACTTCGAATTTCGTGAAAATCGGCCCAAAACTGACAGAGAAAATGGCCACCGTTCGTTCTCAAATAGCGTAAAAATAAGGTATATCAAGTTTGTGGACCCTATAGAGGTCACAATTTTAATCCTTTTTTTGATGAAACTTGAAATGTAAGTTTATAACCCAAAGATCTTGGTTCCTTTCGATATTCGCGCATATCGGACCGTAACTTCCTGAATTATGGCCCCTGATTGTAAGAAAAATCGCGGTTTTAGCTTGTGGACCCTATAGAGGTCATAATTTTTATCCGA